CCAGCTACTTTTTCGCTACGATCGTCAAATCTCGCATTAGGATTGAGTGTTGGTTTTTGTGTTTAGAGGGAACCAATGTTTGTTCTTATCCCCAGTTCATCTTTGAAGCAGGCTGGCACAGCTTTTCTCTAACCATGTCTTTCCCTAAACTATGTTGTAAATCCTGCCTTTTAATTTATGTCCAGGGTCAAATTTTCAGGATTGTTTTCTGGCAGTGTCAGTGATCCCAGTTCTGAAGCTGTGAGGTTGATTTTACTTAATGTGTGACTTTCCTTACTTATTGTGGAAGCTGAACTCTGACTCTTGTGACTTGTTTAGTCTCTCTCTCTTTTTTAAATATTTATTTATTTATGCATACAGAACTGGGGTACAGGCCAGACGTGCAGGGGTGGTGAGAGGATTCACCAGAGACAGAGTGGGGAGCAGGACAGGCAGATTGACCAGGTACTCTGCTGAGTAGAGCAGCAGGCAGATCAGGCGAGGTCTGCTGTGCCATGTGGGTCACCTTTGGGGCAGGTGGGGATCGAACTCATGCTGAAGTGGCTTTAGCTTCTTAGTGCTGTGCTTTAACCTCTGCACCACCAGGGAGGGCCTGTTCTGGTCCCTTAAAGATGCCCGCCAAGTTAGCAGTATAACCTATGGAGTGCCCATTGTTTGTCTCTTCTCCAGGAAAAATCACTCAGTTTGCATAAGTGGGCTGCAGATCTGCTCACATGCATCAGTGGTGCGGGTGAGAGGATTCACCAGAGACAGAGTGAGGAGCAGAACAGGCAGATCCATGAAGTGCACTGCTGAGGGGAGCAACTGGCAGGTCAGGAGTGGTCTGCTGAGCCATGTGGGTCAGTCAGCTTCCAGCCAGGGGATGAAATGTGTGCTGTAGGACCTGGCAGGGCTTGATAGCATTGACTTTAACAAGCCCTGTGCCATCTGGGAGGCCCCACACTCATAAAATTTTTGGAAAAGTTAGTCTGTATGTTGTTTTGTTCACTCATTCATTTGGCCTTGATTAGTACTTGTTCCACTCCAGCTTTCTGAGTTCTAGTTTATGTTCTATCAAGAGAGATCAAAATATAAGAGGAAAGTTACTGTGTAGGCTTTTTAGTTCCACAAAAGGTCACTCCTGATGCCTGGGAGAAGCAGAGTAGGAGCTTCTGAACCATGGTGGTCTCAAAGCTCTTTAAGAGGTTCTTGTTCTTATTTGCTGTTTTTAGAGCGATTTCATTTCTGATGTTTAATTTGACCACATGTATAATTATTTACCTTTCTTTGCTGAGGTCAGGTTTTGAAACTATCCTGAGTTAGAAAACTCTCCATTTCTTGATTCCTGGAGTAGCATTCCTTTCATTTGGGGCCTCATTTTCTTTTATAGCCCTGCCACGAGTGTATAGTTGCCATAGGTCACATGGTAGAACAATGTGGTCTGCTGCTTCTGATTGATGACTGACCTCCCTTGAGTTTATTGCCCTTTGAGTGTTCAGGCACCCTCTTGACAAGTGGAATCTGTTTATGCTTTGAGTGATGATGATGAGGTAACTGACTTTGCTATTGGACAATATTATGGAGAATCACAGTGAGTGAAAATAGAAACAGCTTTGGAGAACACAGAGAGAAAAAAAGATAAATTATATCTGGTGTTTGTGATGTGGGCCCTGAATTATAGAACAGCACAGGCTAAAGTCACAGAAGTTCATTGCATCAAACATGAAATGCAGGGTTAGGAATCTAAGGCTTTTGGACATGCGCAGTCTCCTAATGAGATCCCAGAAGAACCCATTTCTTTTTGTCTCTTCCAGTGGTGTCTGGCTTTCCCTTCATGGTGATGAGATGACTCTGGACCTCCCAGCAGCTCTTCTCAGGAAAGTGAGAAGGAGATGAGTTCACATCATCAGGGCAGACTTACTCATAGCTCCCTTTCTAGCTATGCATAAATATCATTGGTTGAGACTCTGTGTCCCCTGTCTGCTAGGGAATCTGAGGGAACAAGTCATGTTAGTCTGGCATATTGCCCCTAGGAAGGGAATCAAGTTGTGAATGTCCTTAGGCAAATAAGCATGACTGCTATACCTGGCTCTTTTATTTTTCTCAATTCTAATGGGCCGAGTTTTTTTTTTTTTTTTT